CAAATCAGCCACAGGAGCTCAAAAAGCAGGGTCTGTAATACCTTTGGATGTTATTATTATCTGGAGTATTATAATCAGGCTGAGGAAGGAAAGTAGGTCCGTGTTTATTTTTATTAGGGACCTTAAAGGTATATTTCACCAATTGAAACACACATGATTTCGAGAAACATGGCAATTGAAAGAGGTTAACAAGGAGATTTACATTTAAAATTAAAAAGTTAAAAAATTTACGTATCAACAACTCCAAATTATTCAAACTCTAGGAACCTATAGAAGCCTGACTTTCTTCATGCTTGAGGCTTAACTTTATTAACTAGCAGCTCTTTAACGAAACCAGGAATTTGAGAAGTGTCAGACACGAGTATTTTTTAACTAAAATCTCTCTGTATTAACTGCCTTGGAGTAGTAAGCTCTATGATTTCCAAGTCCAAATGGTAGTTCAGTGTACATACACACCTACCATAGAAATGTATTCATTTGCAAAAACCTAAAAAATTGGCTGCACTTGATAACATTAAAGAATAGTTTCAAGTTTCAATTTGGGGGTTCTTCCAGAAGAATATTTTCTATTGGTCTGATGTTCCACTCAAAAAAAAAAAACAACTTAGAGACAGGCTCTGAGCAGTTTCATAGGGTGTTTAGGCCTGATGGGAATGTGCTAGTTTGCTTTATGGCCTTGAGCCAACCCTGGGGGGAAATCTAAGGAAGAATTCAATTCTGCCTTTTCCCAGAATACTTGTTGATGAACTCAGCAGCGCTAAAGTGTTACATGAGTCTTTGTGTCCCCCAGGGTCCAGTGATAAGGGGACATGAGACCAGGGTCAGTGTTTCTGGGAATCTCATGTGGGTTCTTAGAATATACAAATATTTCTCATGAACCCACAGCAATTTTTAAAACAAACTCAGTGACTCTGATCTTTGGAGGGAGCAAGCACATAGCCTACCACACCCCTATGGAAGGATTCTAAGTGTGTAGCTTTCCTGAAAACAATCACTTCTGTCTGATGGCCACAGCTTCAAAAACCCTTCCTGCTGAGCCAGGGTGACTCATGAAACAGAAACAGGTTTCAGGAACTCACCCTTAGAATGTGGCTACTGGAAGCCTCTTTAATTTCTAACTGGATGAAGTGATACCCAACAAGGAGTTTTTGTTCAAAAGATTAAATTCAAACTCAGACACTGTCAAGTGTCTTCTCCAATAGGCATCACTAGAGAAGACAGAGTCAAAAAAAAAAAAAAAAGACAGAGTCAGACTTTGAAATGCTGGTCGCCAGCAAAATGACCACGTGTGATCTTTAACTTGGAATTGTAAAGAAGACAACGGCCCCACATTAGTTTACTCTGTGGGTATTTCTCAGGTGTGTCTCTTGCTGCCAGGTTAGACTTCCTGCCATGCAGCGATATCAGGCTGTCTGACAGAAACCACTTCTTAAAAGGGGCTGGCAGCTCCAGAACAGTGACGAAAACTGGCTTATTTCAAAGAACTACTTATAACTCATTTTTCAGTTTTCCTCTAGTTAAAGATGAAATGCTTCAGTTGTGAGGACTGAATGAGATACACTATCATTAACATGCTAGATATATGCTGTTGCTCAAATACTTATATGTATCAGATTGGTCAGCCAAGCGTGTCTCACAAAACATCTCCCTAAAAACACCTGCCTTATATTATCAGTGGCGAGTTAGCATGTAGAAAGCCTGTTTTCCTTCTTACAACAGAATGTGTCTACTTTTGAAACATCAGAAATAAAACTGTAAATGCTCTAAGATAAATGAGGCAGTTTTCTGATTTCCAGTCTTACCAGTCCTGTGACTCAGTCCTTCCTCCAATAGGATGGAGAGGAAGATGTTGTTCCTATCCACATAGCACCTCTCCTCTTAGAATCTCTATGTGTATACTCACTGTAGAACAACATCCCTGTCAGGGAGAGAGATTGGAGACATTATTGAGGGGGGGATGAGTGGAAATGAATTTGCATAAGGTCCTGTAGTAAGTATTTTCCATTCTAGTGCCTGGAAACCACACAGCAGATTCTTGGGGCTATTCTACAGAAAGCAGCGAACACGACACTGGGCCGCAGTGAAAGGCTGCTGCGATGATGCAGCCAACCGGCACTTGACTTAGATATTAGCTGATAGAGGACAAGAGGAAAGGCAAAAAACTGAAAACCGAACAAAAGACCTTAAAACTGCCTCTTCCAGCCCCACAGCCAGCCAACCTGCCAGCCCCGCATCTGCCCCACCGAAGCAAAGCCAGCAGCGAGACCCAGATTGCAATGGCACCCAGAGGGAGTAAAGTTGCGGTCATGAACTCTAAGTGTCCTGTCCACTGACATCATTGCCACGGCTCCTACCAGAAAGGAGTGCTCACATGGCTGATTCTGCAGGCAAGGCCAAGGGAGGCAGTGGGGTGACGTGTGGGTCAAGGAGAGATCTATGTGACCAGTTCCTAGTCCAAGTCATGGAAGCTCTGACTGCATGCGTCTGGCTTTTGGGGGAGCCCCTGACAGCCCCAGTTGTAGTAGTTATGTCTTTAGTCATCCACTCCAAGCAGTGCTGCTCAGCTTGCCACCTGTCCAGCAGGAAGTGGACCAAACACACTTCTCATTCCCACATACCACAGACCACAGGACAACTGGGAACACTTCTAGGTTATGACCATCCTGGACTACTTTTGAGGTGATGATCTCAAATTCACTACTGTGTGTTCCAGTCTCTTCCCTCTAAATCATGCCGTTCTTTAAATGCTATGTTAAGAATGCAAAGTTATAAAAATGATCCCCTTTCCTGCTTCACCTTAAAAAGCCTTGTTTGGTTGTTCTTTTAGAAAAGAATGCAAAATACACAGCCTTCAACGGACTTCCTTTGCAAGGAACAAGGGAAACACACAATAGTGTTATATAATGGATAGATTGCATTTTCCTTTATCCTGTATTAATCTCCTAATTGATTTCCTAAAAAGGCAAATAAGAGGCCCAGCTGCATCCTGTGGTTTTCACTTCTAGGTAAACCACCACCAAAGGCATGGAAGATTTTCTAGAGCAAAAGCAGAAGAATTGGCTCCATTGTTCTGCAGATGACTTAATTTCCCTCACATTATGCCTTAGAAATAAACTATGTTTTGAGCTTTACGGAGACATGGACATGCTCGCCCATAAAGGAAATTCAGACGTTCTGTGGGTGATGTAAGAGAAATGTCAGAAATGACGCAGTCTGAAGAGCTCACACAAGGAAGATTTTTAAAAACACATAGATTGAACAGATAAAGAAGAAAGTAGTTTTTTAATAGGATAGCGAAAAATATACTAGATTGACAGTGACAGCAGAAAAGGAACAGGAATACAGATATTTCCAGATTTAAAACGGTACCATGCGCTTTCAAACCAGACACACTTTGTGAGAGGTCTCTGAGTGTATTTCCCATTTTGAGTAGGTGGTATTCCTCAGAGCTGTCAAGGATGCTTTGTGTTTCTCAACATCCATTCGTGTTGAATACTTTCCATGGCTGGTCAGACTCAGACTTAAAATAGCTATAAGAAAGGTCTTCAGGTTCACTGTCAATGCCATTAATAACTTCATAGCCAGCTGGATGACCGCACGGTCTGCGGCCAATCCAAATTTACAGGGTAACCTTGCCTGACTCCTCCTGGTCCATCAAACTTAAATAATAAAGCAAAGGTGTGAGAAGAGAATCGCAAGGAACAGTTGGGGGAAGTAAAAAAGCAAAGCAAAAACAAGAAAAATATCTGTGCGGTTACTCAGAATTGATTCTAGTGATAGTATGTTCTCACTTCCCCCTCACACAGGGGTTCCTCCTGCTTCACAATCCGCCCCTTTTATTGCCAAACCTTCATGCCCCAAGCATGCAGTTTCCCAAAAGAAAACATAGTCACAGACACCTTTGCCTGCAACCTGCTCACCTTTCTACACCTGACCCCAGTATAATCGAATCTACCACTTGCCTCAGCCAAGGAAAACTTGTAATTTCATGGACAGTCAGATGTTCTCGAATAATTCCTCAGTAACTGGGGAGGGAGGATGGAAATCAATCACCAGGGATAATTATCCTTTTTGTCTTCTCCTGTTTCTTTTAACAGTTTCTTCTGAAGTGAGCTAATATAAGTAAAATATCTGGCGAGGAAGCCAATACCCAGTGAGTGCTCAGTAATTACTACATTCTTTCTTCTTACTCCCCTCACTAAACTATGCACATTAAAACAATGCCTGTGGTAGCTTTTCTGGGATATCAAGCAGGTGGCTGAGGTGGACAGCACAGAGCTGAACCTAACCTCAATAAACTTCGTATCCCTTATCATAAGTAATAGAAATAAAGCACTACTTCAAAGGAAATCGCATTCAACTCATGTTATAGTCTCACTACATTTGAGCCTTTTCAGCATGGAAGCACAGCAGTGTGAGACAGAAAGGCTGATGTTTGGCAACACCCATCACTCCTTGTGACTAACGAATAAATCCTAAGTATCCTGCTTACTTAACAGAACGGCACGTTATCTATTTGGGGTGCTCCCAGATTCTTTTAGTGTGCAGAGGAGATAGATTTTTAAGTCAATCTGAGTTAGATTTATAGCTCATTAAAAATAGGCTCTTTGGACCCAGATTGGAAGTTGACATGAGACATTAAGTAAGTTGAGGACTTGCTAGGTATTCTCAAAGACTCAAGTACCACTGCAAACAATTTGTTTTAAGCAAAATGGACACAGCTTCAGCTACCATATTATTCTTCCACAACAGATGGTTTCCACACCTGAACTGTGACACCACTTTTCTTGGCTGAGAACTTCGGCCTGGGTGCAACAAAATAGGATGTTGAGGCTGATTCTTGCTTTGGAGGGGTGGCAAGGCCCGCTGGCACGGGCGAGGCGCTGACCGGGGAGGTGGCCTCTGCATAGAAGGCGGGCTGAGAACTGTAGGCTGGGACCGAGTACACGGAGGAGGAGGCATGCACGTTGGTGGGCGAGCCAGCGCTCACTGGGCGGGGAGGGAGAGCTTGTTTCATGGCTGGCATTGAGTTGATCTTGACTGATGCCTTTTGGGGGAGGCTATCCTTTGCATCCGGAGGCTGGAAAGTAAACAAGGACGCATTGAGCTGATAAGGCTGGTGCTTCATGACATCCAAAGCATTGAGGGGTTTCTTGCCCTTCTTCTTGCTCGTTTTGGAGGCCTGTGGGGCTGAGGGCTGAGACTTGATGGCAGCCAGTGGGTAGGAGGGGGAGTGGATGGGATTGTAGGCGATGGGAGGCGGAGCTCGGACATTGGAGGAGTACTTCCAACCAGCGGGGAGAGAGGGAGTGGGAGACTGGGCACGAGCAGCGTGCGCCTGCACCGTTTCCGAATCTACCACGTATTTCTCCATCCTCGACTGCCTTTTAGCAAAGAGCTGGGCTCCCCTCCCACTCATTCCTGGAAGCTCGGTGGACTGTCCTGCCGCACCGGCGTGGGCGTGCGCAGTGTTTCCTATTGGAACCTGAGGGGTCGGCTTGGGTGCGTAATTCTGACTGGCTACTGCCGCCTGCGGCCCTTTGAAGGGCCCAGCCAGGTTCTGAACGCTGGCGGGCCGAGCCGGGTAGGAAGGCTGGGCGACTTTGATGGAGGAGACCACGACGCCCTGGGAAAGGCTGGGCGTGGGGAAGGCTGGAGGCTGGGTGGGAGCCACCCCTGGCGACCAGGCTGGAGAAACTGGAGTTACAGGTTGGGAGGCAGATTTAACCGCGGGTTTCGGAGCCACAGGAGGTGGGGTCTTCTGTTTAGCGGAAGCGGAGGAATTCTGCATAAAATTGCAAGCCTCTGCTCCCAGACTGAGGTAGTCCTCTTCAGGACCCGAATCGCCTCCAGCTCCTGTGCCCCGTTTACCTTCTGAATTTTGGAGAAGTGACAAGAGTTCAGGATTGGGGCTCACTTTGGGCTCCTTAAAGGTGAACATGGGTTTTGTCGTGCTTCTTCTTTTGGCCTCCTGCAAGATCCCTGTTCTTTTTGCTGGAACGGCGATCCTTTCATCCCGGGAAGCTATGCGTTCAGATGAATCGTAAAAGGCCGGCTGGGACCACAGGGCAGGCTGGGTCCAGGGTGGTGGGGGGGCTGGGCCCGCGATGGGACTGGATGCTGCTCTGGAGAAGGCCTCGGGTGGAGGCGTGACTGCAGAGTAAGGCGGAGGCGCAGGGAAGTCAGCCATGGGACTTGCTACATTTCGGGTTGGGGAGAAGGGGGCTGCTGGCTGGCTCACAGACCCGGGGAAGGGCTTGGCCGTTCTGTTCATTGGGGTCATCCTCTGGGCTCCTGCTGTCTCAGACGGCCCACTGAAGCCGTTCTGTTGGGGCAAGTGCCCCAGGCCCTGGCTCATCTGGATGTAGCTCCTGTTCACAGAGCTCTGCACACTCACCGACTCTTGCTCCTTCCTCTCGTATGATGTCAGGGCTCTCGGGCCATCTGTCTGGGCGGGGTCTGGTTCTCTGCCCGACATTCCACCCGCCCTTTCCTCATCTTTTTGGGCTGTGATCTGATCCATCCTTTCCCTCCTCTTGGCAAACATGAGGGCCCCTTTGCCTGTGGTATCTGGCAACATCTCCATCTTGTCCCCTCTGCTTGTTTTCTTTTCAATGTCCACTAGCTCAGAATCCCAGTCAAAGCTCACAACTTGGGTGGTGTCGTCACTGTCAGACAGTAACTCTTCATCCACCTCGGATTCGCTGGCATCAAGAAATGCGACTTCGCTTGTGTCTTCCTTGTCGCCTTCCTCTTCTTCCTCGTCTGCCTCCCGCTCAAGCTCGCCAGTGCCGTAGCTGATGAGGGTGTATTTCTTGGCCCTCTTCCGGCGCTTCTTAAACATCAACACCCCCTTGGAGTTGGGATTGGGGGCATCTGTTAGGAGGAGGGCAATGCTTTTGCATTTGGATTTTGCTTCTTTCACCTGCTTCTCTGAAAGGCTTTCACTCCTCCTGAGCCCTAGGAAAAGCACAAAAATTAATTGAAGTATATAAGGAAGACACCGTAGCAATCTAGAAATGGACTTCTCTGGGGGGAAACTAATATGGACAAAACTGCTGAATTTTGAAGGGATCCAACTCATTTCAGCCTCTTTTTAGATTTACCTAGACGTGTAAATCTACAATGATATATACACACACTTCTGTTTCATTTAAAGATGTAATACTCATGCAACACTTTCATATATGTTCACTAGAATATCTGTTTTATAATTTGTTTCTGATAGGATCCTTAGACTTTAACAACTAAAAACTAGTTAGTAAATGTCAATTAATAGGATGCAATTAAAATTAAAAGGAAATAACTTAAGACAGTATTTTATGTAAATACATCTTGAGTTTCCATATTTAAAAATTACATGTCAATATGAAGCTGTTTCTGATCCTCTTTGCTGTTTTAAAATAATAATTTAATAAATTAATTTGTGGTGACATCAGGATTCTCTCCATCAGGTAGCACCACCACTTAAATGTTTTAATGTCATGAAGTGTTATTAAAAGTTTTTTTTTACTCTGATGCCCCCAAGTCTGCATTCCCAGTTACTTAACTGATATAAAATTTTAAAAATGGAATAACAACCGATAAGCCAATATTTAATTAATCAATAATGAATAGCACTTAGTCCATGATTATAATAATTCAGATTACTAGATTATTGTGGCTAAATATAAGAGATTTTGGCTACAACGTAGTCTAAATAAATTTGTTAGTTATTGCTATTTGGAAATATAAAACTACTACAGCTGCAGTAAGTATAAATCTTGGGGATATTTAAAAATTATATTAGTAGTCACCCTTTTAGCTATGAATACCAGCTGACATAGAAATTAAGTCACTTAAAATGACATCTGATAGTTTTAAAGTAACAAAAGTGCACACTTAAACTTATTATTATTAATACTATAAAAATAAATTGCTGGAAAATTAATGTAGAGCATTAGTTGTTATACTGCATATTTTAGTGACAATGAGCATGATTCAAAAAAAAAATGTTCTAAGTTCCTCAACATAGTGAAATGGAAATTTCGGAGAAAAATATTTGAATATTTTGATTGATGGAAAATTGCTCTTTTGTTACTGGGGGGAAAATACCAGATTTAACGATAAATTTTTTAAAAGTAAAATATAATCAGAGGAAATAATTTTATAACAAAGCTAAAGAACAAGCTTTATTTTGTGAGGAAAATGGTGAAAACAGTAGTCATTCCTGAGAGTTGCTCCTTTTTGGACTACTGTTATACAAGTTACAGTTAAATTGACAGTCACAGTTGCAGTTGTTGCTAACTTCACAGCCCATCTCTAAAGTATGTGAGTGCTGCATTTATACACTTGTTTAATATGCTATAAATATGAAGACAAATACAGATGCTTAAAGTATACAGGATGATTAACAGCACTTGCCAATAAACTACAAATGGTTATGCTAAAAATATGCTCTGAAAAGAAAAACAGTGTTGCTAGAAGATTTAATCCGCGACTTGGGGAGGGATCTTACTGCCTTCTTTTGAAAAAGACATCTGTAATGTTGGCATATTTCTTTTGCTCCAATATTTTTATTATGGTAACATTTGCTTTATAACATCCTCTAAGTTTCGCTTAACACACTACTTTAAACAACCCAATTCATCGCTTCTGTGAATCACACATACAATCAAATACATGCCTTTACCTGTCAGCCTTCACATCTGCAAATGAAATTCCAAAGTTTGTGTCCACTTAACTTAAAAGAAAATAACAAAAATCCTAACTCCCATCTTACCCTCCTTTGTATAATCACTCACCTGGGTCAAACAAAATGACATTAAAAAGTCTTGAGTTTTATGTCTGGACACATGTGAGGGCTACCCTGTGGCCCCTGAGCCTGGCTTCTGTGTCTAGAAGTTAGGTGAAGCTCTGCAGTGTAGTGAAACTTTACAGCACAGCAAGGATCATGTATCTGCACAGTGTTTCACATGCCCTTGTCCATCAAACTCACTTCTGCAAGCATCGCCAGGCTGTACAATGACTTTTTCAAAACCAGGGTCTGCTTTTAATACCAGTGGAGCAGCCGGTGTTTTAAAGACACCTCTCAGCAGCACACTCCATTGTTACTGACATTTAAACTGGAGTCCACATGACTCCAGATACTCTAGTGGGCTATTTTAACACGAACTATTACAAACATTCTGTGACAAATCCAAAAGGCACAGTGACAATGATATTTTCTTGTAACAGTTCCTGTGCCTTTTTGGAGGATAAAAGCAAGTGCACCAAAGATACTCAAACCTAGAAAACTTAAAGAACCAGAAACCAGAAAATCCAAACTGGTTGCTTCCAATGCAGAAACCAGAGTTCTCCTTTGTTATTTTGTGCATTAGCACAAGTTTACTTAAAAGAACCAATGAGAGACATAAGAAAACTACTGAAGAATTAGAATAAAAATCCATGCAGGGGGAGCAGCAAACACCCCAAGCTTCCTGTCCCCTTGGGACAGTCCTGCAGTGACCCCGGACAGGACTTACGTGCGTGGCGCGCTCTATGCTTGTGAGGTCTGCTGTGATCCCTTTCCGAGCGCGGGTCTTCTCCCTGCTCTGTGCCTTCTGATGAGACTGCAAAGGATACCAGAGAAGGAGGTGCTTCTGACTGCCCTCCTTCCACTGGAGAGTCCACACACCCCCTTGCTGCCGGCAGCCTGCACCCTTCTGTCTTCTGCCTGTCAGAGCAATCGAGGATCACTCCCACGTGGGGCTGCGCAGCGTCTCCTGCTCCTCTGCCCTGGGTGACTCTCAGCCCTGTGCCTCCAGAGAGCTGGACTGTCTTGCTGGATGTCAAAGAAGGGTCCTCTGGCTCATGAGCAGGGACTGAATTTAGCTGGGCAATTCCATCGTGTTGTAAGGCAGGGTCTGGGGCCGCAGGCTTAGGTTTTTCGGCTCCTAGGAGGGCTACAATCGGGACAGTAGCACTCTGGAGCCTCTCCTGTGGCAGGGACAGCTGGAGCTCAACCACGGGGCCCGGCTGGCGAGCCTCTGCCTTCTCCCTTAAGAGTATCTCCTCTGCTAAGCATCCTCTTTGGGAGTCAGGCATATGGGGGGCCCCATGGCAGCTCAGGCCTGTTTCTTCTTTTTTGTTTCGTGGACCAGTCGGGCAACTTCCTTGGTCCTCAGCTAAGGAAGCTCTGCTCTCGGCCGGGATGATGCACAACTCCCTGCACTGGCTCGGTGGAGCTGGTCGGATCTGCAGGGTGGTACTCTGCACGTATCCCTCCCGGGTGAGATGTTCATGGCTTTCTGTTTCAGAGATCACAGTGTCACTCATCCCGCTGGATGGTCTGCACACAGAAAAATCATCCCAGACAGTTAAATCAGAGTGGGTTACACCTGCCAGAGAACTCCCTGACATTTCTAGGATGTGCAGTATGTGATGATAATCAAAATATCTTCTCCCTTCTCTCTTTTCAACTGAAAGATATCTTAGAAACAAAAATTGGCTACATGTTTGTATTATTTCAAGATCTTTCAAATAAACGTTTCTCTAAAGCAAGCAAAAATGCTCACTAAAGGTTATGATAAATCCACCCTAAATTCACTTTTTAAAAAAGCATAGCTTATAGCTATATGGATAGCTTTTATCTGAAATTATTTGGGTGTTTTAAGGAAACTGTACTTATTATAACAACAGAGTTTCACTCTTATCGACTGAGTTTCGGTCTGGACATTATAAAAGTCATACAAACATACGCAGCAGCTTCAGAGGCATATTAGAATACAGATAATTCAAGAAATACTTTTAGAGGCGGTGCTTTCTTGAAAGGAATGAAACAGACGTGTTTTTAAAGCTCCAGTGAGCATGTGTTTTGTAATAAGTGGACCCTCGCCCAGAACTCTTGTGTAAAGTGAAATCCTTTCCATGCTGCAATGAATCATTGAGTCATGGGATATTTATAATCAGAGATGTCTCCCCTTCTCCTATTTGAACCTGTCTCTTGGAGCATTTCCTTGTAGGCATTCTGAAGTCAAAAGGATCCTTCATCTCTCAGCTAAGGAGCCCAGTGCTATGCAGCACAATCTTTGATTTGGGATTTAACCATTACAGGTTGGTTCTGCAAATTTGGGCTTGCAAGAAACAATGTCAGTTTAGGGGATAAACAAATTCTTCCTAGAGCTCTAAAACTTTCAGCTTCTTTAGGACATCATTCACAGGACAGCTGGAGGACATGCCTTTATTTCTTACATTTGTAAGGTTGTTTTTTTATTTTTTAGGAAACAGCACTCACTCTTCTGTCCCTTTCTTCCTTCCTGAAATGCACCTTGAACGAAGTAAGACATCATTTGGTTGACCCCCTACTTGACAAACCAGGGGAGTTTGCCTTAGAATTTTTATCATTGTAGAATTTTTAGACCAATGTTCAAAAATAAATACTTCTTTATTTGCTTTGGACTGCATTTAGCAAGATAACCCTAACCAAAAACAAACAGTCAAATGAAATGCAATTTTCTCTATGCAAGTCATCTAAAAAGCTCTCTGCTAATACAAAAACATTAAAACTGTATTTTAAAAGCATGATGACTGCAAATTAGATCTTTCTTTTATAGAAAATGATGAATATACTCTATACAACTTAATTTGAGTGTACCAAAAGGTCAGAGAGTTTTAATTTAGCAAGGCCTCAGGATGGAAGTAGATTAAATCACTTTGAATTATGTTAGCAATCAGTTACAAAGCTGAGAAGAGAGCAGCCTGAACTCATCCCAACCTTTCTGGCTGAAGTATAGGCAAATGGGTGAGATAAATGTCAACATTTATTGGTAGTCGAGGTAACATCTATAAGTAAAAGAGATATACATGAATAAAAAAGCATATAAGCTCTAGAGAGTACAGCTTTATACTTTTAAATATTCATTTCCATTCAGTATGCACAGATACTCAATTCCACAATTTATGTCATAATTACCTTAATATCTTATTTTTGTTATCTTAACATATTAATAAAAGATAAGAGAATAGAGACTTAATGTTAAAGGAGTCTTTTTTTTTTTAAGATTTATTTATTTATTTATACAGAGCTGGGGTATAGGCCAGGGATGCAGAGGGTGAGAGGATTCACCAGAGACAGAGTGGGGAGCAGAACAGGCAGATCAACGCAGTACACTGTTGAGGGGAGCAGCGGGCGGGTCAGGAGAGGTCTGCCATGCCATGTGGATCTCTTCCCAGGTAGGCGGGGATCGAACTCATGCAGAAGTGGCTTTAGCTTCTTAGTGCAGTGCTTTAACCCGCTGCGTGGCCCTAAAGGAGTCTTTTAAGCTCATCTGACCCAGCTATCTCTCTGGCAAAAGCCCGTAAGAAAAGAAATAAACCACTCTTCCCTTGTGGCAGATGACAGAGAAAGAATGAGTCTAATATCTAATGCCAGGTAATGCCATCCAGGTATCTAGAGTGACGGTGATGATGACTGCATTTGGGTTAACTTCAACTCAAGATGTCAATTTAAGATCATCAAATAATTATGTATTTTTGTAAAATGTAAACATAATCAAGAGAAAATAATTACATGATTCCAGTCATGGAAAGTAGAGGAAAGAATGAAAAATGAATAAAGAAAGCAGACAACTAGTCACTTCTTTCTGAATCTGTACCTATCACCCAGGTTTAAACCCCCAAGGGTTTTCCAATGACAGTGTGGCAAACAAAACAAGAAAAGAACTACAAGGTGAAGTCCCAGACCACAAATGTGTTCCAAAGAAACTGGCCTCATGCAGTGAGTCAAGACACTGACAAGGGAATGCGCTACAAAGGTCTTTTCCCCATTCTGGATGTGGTGAAAGCTTCACAGAAAACATGATCTTCAAACACCTGAGGGCTCACTACGGACAACGGCATTATGACCAGGGGGCAGCCTTCCTCTCAGGTGCAGTTTGATGAATTTGTAGGATCCTGGGGCCCATGGCCTTCATCACTGGATTTGCTGGGTAAGTGTTCCGATGGGAGATTTTAAGAATAACCTTATTTTCACAAAGTTTTGGCCTTAGTAATTTCATGTTTGTAGAGAAGCAGAAATATACTGAATGATTATCAGAGGGGAAAAGCTGCAGTTTCCAAAGAGTTAAGCCAAAGCCTGGAGGGCTGCAGGATTCTGTCTGAGACACCCTCTACCTCTTCCTGAAGGCTTCACTGCAGGCAGCTTTGCTTTCAGGATTATTGTAATTCAGGGGCAAGGCTTACACTTCAATTTGCACACTGTAAAATGTTGATACGATAGCTTTTTGTGTCTTCTTGTATGCTTACAACTAACTTACGGAATGATGTGGACTGGTGGCTGGTGGGGAGACAATAGGTGAGTGACTTGCAGCAATAGGCCAAAACCTCCATTTTAACCAACTACTTTTACTCACCCAAATACTGATTTCTGACTAACAGAAATATGGCAGCTTTTAAGGATATTTTTTTGGTTCTTTCCCTTATCCTACACATCCTTTTTTCTATATAAAAAAATATTGTACATTGGAATGGTTTAACATTTAAACATACTTAATTGATTTGTGAACCTCATAATTACAAACCATGAAGTCTTTAAAAAAATAATATGAAGTCTTTTAAAAAAATAATATAATAGTTTATTTTTACATCATTTTGTGCCTTTTCCCATCTCAGTTGTAATCCCCGTGGGCTTCCCATCACCAAATCACCCGTGTGCCATCACCATTGTCCAGTGCATTTCCCTCCCCCACTGTTTTTGATCCCACTCCCCACTCCAGCCCCATAAAATGTCTCTGGTATATAGTTGTTCATTATTATTATTATTTTCTCACCTGGTCAGTTATATTCTTGCTATGAGTGAAACCATCCGCAAACCATGAAATCTTGATACAGAAGTGTTACATTTTGCTCAATATGTTGAGTTTTCCAAGAAACAATACTATATGCCCAGGATTTTCAGAGACATCTTTAAAACAAGATTTTTTTTTTCAAGTTAATTCTGAATTGACCAGAAAATTTAGTTGACTAGAACTGCCACTGTTGAAACACTGTTCTGTCTAACTATACTGGTTTTCTGCAGAAGAAGCCCCAAACTCCACACCCATTACCAATTATATATATAGTAGAAACTTTACTTGTTTCCATGTAGTGTCAAGATTCAAGCAAAAAGATATATTCTAGTATGTCACTCATACCTTTTGATGAGCATCTGCAGAGAGTCTGTGACACTCTCCATGAGTTTGATGACTTCAGGGTAAGTGAGGTCTGCACAAGGGTTGCCATTGATGGAAACTACTTCATCCCCCTCACAGAGGCCAGACCCGGAGGCTTTGCTCTGGCTTCGAATCTGAGTGGAGTGAAAAAGGAGGCAAGAGTTAAATAAATCACATAACTTACATATATATATATATATATATAAAACTTATATATAAAACATATATGTGTGTGTGTGTATATATATGTATATATATATACACACACACACATATATATATAAATAAACAAAAAAAACAAAAACCATGCCGCTACTTTTGAGAATCTTCTACTTGGGTGATGTAAATCGATCTGCAAACTGCAACATCAGCCTATATTTTTAATTCACTTGTTCATTTCTAAGACAATTGTGCATAATCTCATGTCTCTTGTACACACAATATATTATATGCCATAATGAGAGGATTTAATTGACATTATAAATAAACAGGAAAAATGAGGAAAGTAAGACTATGATTAAAGGAACTAGAATAAAATAAAAAATGGGTGAGGGTCTTCCCTGGTGGCATAACAGGTTAAAGCACCACATTATGAAGCTCACGGAAGCCACTGCAGCATGAGTTTGAATCCCCTGCCAGGGAGCTGACCCACATGGTGCAGCAGACCTTTCCTGACCCCACTGCTCCCCTCAGAAGTGTATTTCAGTAGATCTGCCTGTTCTGCTCCCAACTCTGTCTCTGGTGAACCTTCTCACTTACCACATCTCTGGCCTGTACCCCAGTTATGTGTGCATAAATTAAAAAAAAAATCTTAAAAAAAAATGGGTGAGATGGATACGCATTAAAAATAATTATTTGGCATTATGAATGGAGTTGTATCCCAATCAGAAAGTAACTTCTTCCATTAAAATAAAGGTGAATTCCCCCGCATTGCCAAGGTGGATGTAAGAGGGAGCTGCAGGCCAGGTGACAAGAGTAAGGAGAGAGCTACACAGCTGACTGAGCTGATGAAAGCCATTCCATTAGCTGAGAAATTATGCAGTCAGGGCATTGAGAATCATGTCAAAGGGAGAAATCCTGCACTGAAATCAACCATTCCAGAATTGGTACTAAGAAAACTTCAGAATAAAAGAAAGGGAGAAAATTTGTTTTAAAGCCCTGCGGTTAGGGCTACATAGTACTTAGGCACAGCATGTTGCGGGACAAGACCTGAATAGCAACCTGGAAGGTAAACTTCAGACCCTAGAAGAGAAATTCTGCGGAAAAAACACTAGCTCCTTAGTGAGGAATAAATGGAGGTTGGCATCCCATACAACTATGAGCATGGTAAAATGCTGTTCTCCCTCTGTCCTTCCAGAGGCACCCACCAACCTCCGTCACTGTTCTGTGCCAGCAGCGAGTCTGGGCTTCTGCAGATTGCACTGCTCAGGCTTCTGGTTGGATTTGGCCAGTGGAAGCCCCAGTGAGAAATGAAAGAAAGAACAAGGGAATGAGAGGTGAGGTAGATATTTCAAGGAGAAGCACTGGCTGAGCTCTTGTTATTTTCCAGTAGCACATACTCTCTCCTCACGTCTTCAGCCCGAACGGTATAAATAGCTTCCTGTTCTTAATTTCCAGATGCTTCATTATCATTTGTGGGCTCACTTAAGCTTACTTTTATTCTTTTTTACATTATCTTTACTTACTCCATTAAGCAAGCCATCTATTTCCTGCAGGGACCCTAAGGGAAACTAGTATATTTAGATTTCACTTTATAATTTGAATTTAATAGTTCTCAGTAAAACATCTCATGATCATATAAATTAAGAATACTTTAAGATAGTATTCTAGATACTATACTTTAAGATACTATTCTTTATCTTAATAGTCCAAAATGGTCCATTTTGGACTATTAAGATAAAGACTGAATCTAGAGAGGTCAAAGCCAGGTAAATGCCTTGAAGAATGTGTTCACAGCCGGGCTCATTTCTAAATGGGCATGAAGTATAATCCAACTTATCTCTAACAGCTTCTCACTAACTATTGTTAAGGTCTTAACTAATAATTAATATTTTGACTATTAATATGTTGACTATACAGGTTCAGGGTTTAAATCTCCAATTGCATTTCAATTTCAAATAATACTCTTGAAAGTAACAAACAACAACAAAATGTCATTACATGCTAAAGTAATGATGCTCTTGAGATTTTAAGAAATTAGGTAGTTTTGTTCTGGGAAAGTTCACTTTTTAAAAACACTTATTTACTTACACACATAGAACTGGGGTATATAGGCCAGAGGTGCAGGGGTGTTGAGAGGATTCACTAGCGACAGAGTGGGGGACAGGATAGGCAGATTGATGAAGTACACTGCTGAGGGGAGCAGCGGGCGGGTCAGGAGAGGTCTGCTGTGCCATGTGGGTCACCTCCCTGGCCAGGGATCAAACTCGTGCTTAAGTGGCTGCGGCTGGCTTCATAGTGCTGCATAACCCGTTGTGCCACTATGGAGGGCCTGAAAGTTCATTCTTGCTTTTGTTACAAGTTCTAGCTTATAGAAGGCCTTGTCAGACAAGTCAATCTCATTTTATTTTGGAAGCACATTACTAATTTATTGAAAACATTAAATACTCTCAACATTTCCAAGATTAGAAGGCAGCAATAAAAACAACGGAAAGAGAATATCCTTTATTACAAAGAATCTTTAAAAATAAAATAGCGACTGTATTTGTTTGACTGGGTCTTGCATTAAATCATTAAAAGGTGACAAAAGATCTGACAATAAGTCAAGGACAAAGCCATCTCTAACAATGAACATTTAAATTAAGGGCAGAGTTATTTATTCACAGTTTGTCCAGTTGAATTTAATTATATATTTTCAAAAAAGATTTTATTTACTTATTTTTATGTAAAATAACGGGGGTACAGGCTAGAGATATGTGTGGATTCACCAGAGACAGACGTGGGGAGCAGAACAGGCAGATCTGCTGAAATATACTGCTGTGAGGAGCAGGGGGTGAGACAGGAGAGGTCTGAGGAGCCACATATGGGTCAGCTCCCAGAACTCAGGCCACTGGGGTGACAGCTTTGAGTCTTCACCCGTAGACTGCCAGGGAAGCCCTAGCTATGTTTTCTAGTAAAATAAGATTAGTGGATCATTATGCATATTTTTGAGCACAAAATAATTCATTCAATGGAATCAAATATACTAGAATACAGACAGACCATTCATCCTGTGGTGCAAAGAAGTTTTATGCTGATAAAACAGAGGTGTCGTCATACTCTATAATTTTCAAGGTCTAATCACAGGTTGTATCACTTCATTAACAATAAGTTGTCTGAGTTTTAAGGAGCTTCATGGGCATGCAGAGCAAGATGGAAAATAAATTAATCTTCAACTTAACAGAGCTATCATCCAAACATGTGCTGCTTGAGTGGGAAAAGCACAGTCCATCATTGTGCTTGTCAAGTAGAGCTTTTACTGGTATCCAAATAAGCAAAAGCATTATGATAGGGGCCATCAGCATTCCTTCAGAGTAACATGTTCAGGTCAACACACAGAATCAACCACTGCGACTGTGACTCACTGAACTTTTACATTTGTCTAAGCAGCAGGGAATATTTTTCTCTCAAGAACCATATAAATATGGTGGTACTTTCCTTGACACCAAGGATTTCTCTTTCTCTACTGTGTACTGGACTAGTACATCAAACAAAGCTTGTCCAAGAGTATTATCATCCCTGGCCATCACTTACTTCATGGCTATCAAACTATTGATAGGTGCATTATGAAGGATAAACATTTATTTGCTTCTTAGTTAGCTATCTTTATAATTGGTGTAATTGTGCATCATTATAAAAGTAAAAATTCTAACTCCTAAAAATATTCTTACCTGCAAAAATAAAATACACTGTCAGTAATAAGTGTAAATTTGGACATAAATAAAAACTGTTAGTATTGACAATACTGAATCTCTAGTCGTGAGTTTATCAACTACTGGTCCTACAGTCGTAAGTTACATGTCCTAGTGCGAGAGAACACCGACTGCAGGAAGCTGACCTGGGCTTCAGCTGGTGTGGCCAACGCTTACCCCTTGCTGAACCTAGACTTGTTACATAGCTTCAATTTTCTAAACTGTAAAATAGAGCTATTGAATTTGTTCTCTCGAGGTGGCTGTTATGGGTTAGAAATAATATGTTACGTTCCACAAGTGGCCAGGAAGTGCCTCATGAATTAAAATGCATGGATTTCCTGTGCTTACACACTCACACCTGAAAGGAACCTGAGAGTGAAATAAAAAGCTATAAAAAGTTTGCATTTTATATATAAGATGGTAGAAAACATCTGACTTTGCTTTAACATTTTCATCTAGATATTTATCATTTTTTAAAAAGATTTATTTATTTATTCATACAGAACTGGGGTACAGGCTGGAGATGCAGAGGGTGAGAAGATTCACCAGGGACAGAGTGGGGAGCAGAACAGGCAGATGGACGAAGTACACTGCTGAGGGGAGCAGCGGGCGGGTCAGGAGAGGTCTGCCACGCCACGTGGTCACCTCCGGAGCAGGCGGGGATCACACTCATGCGGAAGTGGCTTTAGCTTCTCAGTGCAGTGCTTTAACCCGCTGCGCCACCAGGAGGGCCCGATATTTATCATTATTTTATAATCAAAAATAAAAATATTTTATCTTCCTCAGTACGTGAATATTTCCCAAGATGAAAGATGGAAGAGGATACGTCTATTTATTATACACCAATGATTAACTATTAGTGATTTGCTTTTATTGACCACTCACTATGCTAAGCCCTTTACACCCTCTGATCTTGTGTTGTTTACATGGTATATTAGTCACGTCATGTTGCTGTCAGTGAAACTAAATTTTGTCTCTGGCTGCATTTTTTCCTTATAAATCATTGACAAGTCCTTGTGGGAGATGTCAAGAGTTAGTGGTAGAATCAAGACAAGTTCCAATTCAATATCTATTAAAGTACAGGAAAAAGAATGCAATTAGCAATAAATGTAGCCTATGAACTGCAAAGGCTACTCTCACTTTCCAAAACAAAGTCTTGGGGAACTAGAAATTACCAAGAAGGGATGAGAGAGAGGACCTCAGACAACAAGTCAAATTTTAGAGATGAAAACATCTTGATGTCT